GAAACTCGGCGTCAGTGGAAAAGTCTCCTTCCCTGTAGTCATATTAAAAGTGCTGACATAGAGAATGGGGGGAGACAGTAGGAGCGAATTTATTCTTCATTAAGGTGAATGGTGCTATTTGTTATAGTTATATGGTTCGGTAAAGTGGTTTGAATTCATCGGCTTATTTGGATCGGATTAATGTGAATACTATTAAATCAGCATAAAGAATAATATCTAGCAAATAAAATATGATCATAAGACTGGATATGAAGAACGCATAATCCGTTAGTTATTAACTGAATCTTTATGAAAGGGCTGTACATACAGGGTTCTATTTATTTATTTACTTTGTTCAGCAGTTTTCAACATTGAATCGATAAAAACCATGCATTTAACCTTAGAAATTATGTCTCTATTTTTGACAAGGTTTTCTTTTTGCTGACAATGGGCTGCATTTTGCTCTGAAATTATAAACAGGTTTGAAAGTAACAGTGCTGAGTTTTTCGCACAGAATGAAAAAAATACACCAAATGTGGTAAACTAGTATTATTATAAAATATGTTCTATTGATTTGCTTCAAATGACCTCACCAGTCAGTATCATACTCGAATTGAAAATAGCGACAAACAATGGTGAGAACTTACTTAAATTATTCCTCTGATCTTAATCATGCACATGATGCAACTTCCTGTTGAACATGTGACTTGAATATTGAATATTCCCAATATTTCACAAGAGTCAATGTGTTCAGGTAACAGGGTTGAGTAAATTTAATTAAATGGATAAAAGTATGTTTTGAGCGTGAGATGTTAAAAGATTCACACATTAATGTAAAATATAATCCAAATATCTTTCAAGGTAAAGTGTATTTATAGTGTGCTGGGATAGGCAGAAATGCTAAGTGCTGTAGTGATTTAGGTTTTTATTCCTGTTTTATATTATTTACCTGAAATAAGTATGTACATAGTTTTTTTTAAATTTTTTTTTTATAAAGGACACTGTATTTAAAATGCCTTTTACGTTTACTTTACTTTACATACATATTTGTAAACATAATATCAGAAGGACACGGGACCCGAATCATGGCATCACTTCCAATGTTAGGATTAGGTCGGTCTGTGAAATGAACAGCTCTGGTGAATTTGTGAACCTTTTGCAAAGATTTCTCATCACACAGTTATAAAAGCTCACATGTCTATCACTCAGGAAGCTGTACTTCACATTATAAATACAGCTTTTGTAGGTGTGGACAATACGATACAGTACAAACTCTAACAATACACAGGACATACAGCAAACAAATATAAAATATATATATAAAATATACATTATAACACAATATGTTACAGTGCAGCATACACTGCAGACTGCAATGTTATAATACTGTGTTATACAGTACATCTTATATATAAGTGCAATACAACACACCATGTGTAAGCTAGCCTCCTATATTTAACAAATATTTCAAGAGGTCCCATATTTGTGCTCTCATAACTGATTGAGAGTATGTGAGTGTGTGTGTGTGTTTGAATTTACCCTGTGAACAGTCAGACCCCTAGGCTATGTATGTCCAGCTGTTACAGAATGTGTGCAATGGCCTGTAGCAAGATCCGCTAATAACAGGGCCGCTGGTATAAATCATTTTATACCTATAGCTTTTGAGGCTCTTTCAAAGAAAACTGTCCTGCTACAATCTTTATTTCCCGCCTGTTTCCCAGTTTCCAAATTCAATCTCAGATATTTTGCCCGTGAGTTTATAAGGTCACCTCTTCATCCACATTTGCATTCAGATTCACAAAACACCATCATGGCTCCAACTGGACGTTTCCCCATGTCCCACACCTTGGCCCTTCTGCCATTTTTCCTTTGTTAACTCAATCTACAATGTAAAGTCAGTATTTAAATGCTCTGACATGGAAAACTGGACATTTATGATTGTATACTCATTGTAGCTAACTTTAGCCTCCTCTCTGTATTTTGCATGATACAATGGTGCTTGAAAATTTGTGAAACATTTAGAATTTTCTATACTTCTGCATAAATATGACATAATCATCATCAGATTTTCACACAAGTCCTTCAGAGTAGGACTTTATTCTTCTTTAACCATTCTTTGGTAGAACAACTTGTGTGTTTAGGATCGTTGTCTTGCTGCATCACCCACTTTCTCTTCAGATTCAGTTCATGGACAGAATTCATTGTTTCACCAACAATGGCAAGCCGTCCTGGCCCAGATGCAGCAAACAGGCCCAAACCATGACACTACCACCACCATTTTTCACAGATGGGATAAGGTTTTTATTCTGGAATGCAGTGTTTTTCTTTCTCCAAACATATCAATTCTCATTTAAACCAAAATGTTCTATTTTGGTCTCATCTTTCCACAAAACTTTTTTCCAATAGCTCTCTGGCTTGTCCACATGATCTTGCAGACACATGAAACTGCAGACAGGCTGCAATGTTCTTTTGGAAAGCAGTAGTTTTCTCCTTGTAACCCTGCCATTCACGCCATTTTTGTTCAGTGTTCTCCTGATGGTGGACCCATAAACATTAACATTAGACAATGGGAGAGAGTACTTTTGATGCTTAGAAGTTACCCTGGGTTCCTTAGTGATCTCGCAGACTATTAAATGTCTTGCTCTTGGAGTTATCTTTGTTTGTTGACTACTCCTGGTGAGGGTAACTATGGTCTTGAATTTCCTCCATTTGTACACAGTCTGTCCGACTATGAAATGGTGAATTCAGAACTCTTTAGAGATGGTTTTGTAAACTTTTCCAGCCTGATGAGCAGACTACTCTTTTTCTGAGGTCCTCAGAAATCTCCTTTGTTCATTCCATGATACACTTCCATAAACATGTGTTGTGAAGATCAGAATTTGACAGGTCCCTATATTTTAAATAAAACAGGGTGCTCACTCACACCTGATTCTTATCTCATTGATTGAAAACACCCGACTCTAATTTTACCTTCAAACTAAACTGCTAATCCTAGAGGTTCACATACTTTTGCCACTCACAGATATGTAATATTGGATCATTTTCCTCAATAAATAAATGACCAAGTATAATATTTTTTTCTCATTTATTTAATTGCTATCGCGTTGTCTACTTTTAGGACTTGTGTGAAAATCTGATGATGTTTTAGGTCATTTTTATCCAGATATATAGAAAATTCTAAAGGGTTCAGAAACTTTCAAGCACCACTGTATTTGCATCACATAAGGCTCTTGGGACAGAAGCTACTTTGAAGGACCATACATATAAAAGACCCAGCAGAAGCATCTGAATGTGTAAGAGCTGGTTTCTTTTCTTATTAAACACTGTGGAGAAAGTGACTTAGATTTACAGAACTGAGATGAAGATCTGACGAAGATCTGCTATCTGTGACATTGAATCCTTTGGGTTTTTTCTGAGAGTTTTTTTTTTCTCTCCATTAAAGTACACTTTAATACCTATATTGAGAGATAATGGCTTAGCAAATACAATTTTAACAGCTATATAACAAATTGAGAGAGCAACACAGTTATAATTATAGTGTACTATTAATACCAGAATGTTTTATTAGAATTGGTTAAAAAGTAAAATTAGGACTCTGTACATTTTTTTTCACTCAGTAGTAGCAGATTGTGCTATGTATTGGCAGAGGTAGAGCCATAAATTTTTCTATATGGCAGATGTACCAAATGCAAACAGTGCCAGTCTGCATATGTAAATGAGCAAAAAGTTTGTGCTTGTACAATTGGATAATAACATTCTTAGTACACTCTAAAAAAAGAAGATACCACAAAGGTTCCTTAAGGGGTTGTTTGGATGGGTCTAGCTGTCCATAGGGATCCTACAGGGAATGGTTTCAGAAAAAGAAACCTCTTTCTCTTAGGCTTCCAAATCAAACATTTAAATGTTTCCAGAAAAAGAATGAAAAGGAAGAACTCTTTATAGTGCTGGGCAAGAAGTCACGTGGTGACTGTTTTGGAATGGCCAATTGATTTGAGGTATCGTGCACATTTGCAATATCTTAGTGTCTGATTTGAGAATTTACAATCGTACCACTACTAGATGTGTAGCCTGAGAAAAAAACAAACAGGCATTATATTATGCTTAGTTGTACATACTACATACTGAAATCTAAAAACTGAATAACCCCTAAAGGGTGCTAGATATGTATATTATGGATACTGTATACCACTTTGTTTACAGTGCATGATGTCAACATGTGAAAATATGCATCTAGTCAAAGCTCATTAGGTTACAATTTAAGACATGGTATCATGCTAAAATGTTTTTACAATTCATGTGACTAAACGTTTCCAGATTTGCTAACTATACATTAACCAAATCTACAACTTCCTCCAGTTTCTTCCACCATTCATGACTAGACTAGTTGGGAATTAACTCTCTTGCTTCCTCTTTGAACTTTTGATATTTATTTTTTCAGCTTAAACATCATATTTCTTCCACAGTTGCCTGAGATACGAAAAAACAGTCTGAATGCAACTTTTGCCTTTTGTAGTTAACTGTTGGTTAATGTTTTTATCCCCAATTTAATCTTCTTATTTGCTAATGTTTTATCTTTTTTTTTTTTCCCAGAAGTGAATCCTTATTAGGGAATCGTTTCTGTACCTTACCGTTTTATTCATTGCTTAAATACAGAGTTCGAAGCATCTAAACGTTCAAGAAAGTCAAAAAAGTCCAAATTAAAAAAAGAAGTCATGCAGTTGGACAAACCCTTGAATGTACATTTAAAGAGAATGTACCCTTTATGCCAAAAGAAGGCCATCAAATATGTTCAAGCTCACCTGATGGGCACAGTTCCAAGATACACACTTAGAAACTGGGTTCTACTTGGAAGTGTTTCTGAAAGAGAGGCACTCTGTTGTAGGGTTCTACACAGTTGCTCAAAGCATTCTTCCAGAGGGACAAACTGAAGAACTCTTTGGGATGCTAGAGGAATGTTTTTATTCTAAGAGTTACATTTCACATGTACCTAGGGACATTTGGTAGTGGACATTTGTACACATGGCAGTGGTAATTAGGTGGTTAAGACATTGGACTTCTGATCATAAGGTTGTGAGTTCAAATCCCAGCACTGACAAGTTGGGCCCTTGAGCAAGGCCCTTAACCCTCAACTGCTCAGTTGTATAAATGAGATAAATTTAAGTCGCTATGGTTAAGAGGGTCATCTGCCAAATAGTGTAGATCTCAATGTAGAGAATTGGGGAATTATGAATTCTGCTGTGTCACGATTCCCCCTGTGCAGCACCGCACCTTGGGCGCGCATGCTGTTTCCGGGGTGATGTCATCTTTTCGCCCCCTCGTGTCGTGTGACGTATGCGGAAGTGCCCGCAACTGGTAGCGATTGTGGGCCAATGACTGTGTGGATATATACCGTGAGCCATGCTTCACGCGGCACGGTTGAATGCATTGAATACATGTATGTATCTGTGTACGTATGCCATGTAGAGCGCGAGTGCGACTTTAGCGAGTTTTGGTTAAATGTCCTGTTTATGCCATAGGCTTAGCCTTAGCATTAGCTATAGCCATAGGCATAGACATAGTTAGCCTAGCTTACTTTATTGAGAGTGTTTTGTTTCTTGTTTCCATTTTGGTTTTGCGTTCTCCACACTGTAAATAAACATCACCGTTCGGACTGCATTTGCATCCTGCCTACTTGCCTGCCGTCACGCCTCGTGACATGCTGTAGGTGGTTCAAAGTACAGTGGATACCCCGCTTGTACCTGTGCACAGTTTGGGATATTGTATCAACAAAGCCCAGCCAGTAATATAAAAACATACCATCTGACAACTCTGGTCAACAGAATTTTATATTACCACACGTACTTTTGCATGTGCATTTATATTTCCACAAAACCCATCGTATGACCAATACTCATTAAATCATCAAGAATGAGACTCACTTTGTAACTAGCCATAAGGAAAGCATTGATTACTGTGTATTCAGCTAAGGCTAGTTCTTTTGTTCTTCAGTAACTCCTTTATCCTGGTCAGTGTTGTGATGGATCCAGAACCTAGCACTATGCATAAATATATTCACAGACTCATTTATGCATAGTGGAAGCTATTCCACCTACTGGAATATTTTTGAAGGAAACTGAAAAAAAAAGTTTCTAGAAGGAAACTGGAGAGCCCGGAGGAAACCGACATGGACATGGAAATAACACTCAAAGACTATTGTCCGAGGATCCAACTGAGGATCATAGAGCATTGAGGTGGCAACACTACCCACTGCATCACCATATCCTAAGGATTATCCATTCACAAACTTATATACAAACTTTAGGTGTGTATTGGACTGGAGTCTTTCTACTGGGACTGCTGAGGGACCAAACATTTCACATCCGACTATAGTCATGAAGACTCATGAAGACATACATAGCCTATATTTGCAAGTCCCTGGCATACTGAAAAGGCTTGAATAGTTCACCCATTGTTGTTCAGGCCCAATGGCAACCACCTTAGCTGAAGGCAATCTGGATGTGGGTACCAGTTGGGACAGTTGGTCTTTCCTTATGGGGAACAGCTGTGTCAAGGGCTCCAGTGGTAAGGCATCCAGGCACAGAAAAATGTTATAGTGCATTCAAATTGAATGCATTGAAATAACTTTGTACTGGCAAAAGACCCAACATATCTCGGGTGCAGTCACCATTCTCTCACATTTACCCTCAACTGTTTGCATAGCCCAGGCAGGTCAGCAAGTTTGAGGGAGATGAAGCAAATCAGCAGATGGTAGGCAAGGTGAAAGGAGGCTACCAATCTTGAGATTTCCTGGTAATGTGTAAAAGCAAAAAACAAAAACTGAGCTATATTTGACCAGCAACTCTAACGAGACGTTTTTCAGTACTGTAATCTGTTGTGAGAACCTGAACAGGAAGATCCGCTGTAACCACCTTTCTTTGGGAAGGAATTGACCCCAGGGGCACACTGGCAAAGAAAAAAACAGCTCTGTTTCCAGGGCATCAAGACTGCTATGCACTTGATATATTTGTGTTTCACAGGGTCAAGGTGCAAGCCATGCAGCCATATCTAGACCCAATAAAGATGGACTCAGAAAAGCTGTAACTATCTTGTGCTTGAGAGGGGACCTAAGTGAGGAGTTCACCTAATTCATTCTCGAGTTTCACACGTTCCATGAGAGTGTCCATCATGACCTTCTTACCTTTGGGAGAAGAAATGCGTCAGTCATCTACATAAGGATTCATTTCCAGGCAAGTTGCTAATAGTGCAGCTTGGACACCGGTGGTTAAACCACCAAAGACATAGTGCAGTGCAGGAATTTGTATTCTTGGAAGGCAGAGAAACAGACGAGAGGAATTATGTATATTAAGGGCAACAGAATAAAATGTTTATAACATGAATCTATGAAGATTTACTATGTTTATTAAAGAACTATTAGAGAGGGTGCCAGAATTGATCTGGTTTCTCAAGATACTGTCACCAGAACCTCATTAGTCTGATGAAAGTTTGGACTAAAGTTGGGCCAAAAGTGGTACTTTACTGTAAGTAATGTGTCACCACTGACCTTATTTTCTCAGTGTTTAACCATAGTTGGAGTGTGGCTCCACTCACTAACTATAGTACTGTAGGACTGAAAATCTAGGCCTAAAGATTCAGCATAATGGTTGCCCAGTGGCTGTGTGTGGACCTTGAACTATAGTGATTGTGTGAGAAAGTGTTGTAGAAGATTTCAGATGCCAGTAAATACCCTTGCAATACGTCTTTTGCTATGGCGAGTTGACCCGGTACCATGGGTAGGCATATCAGGATGGTATTAAATGCCTAAGAGAGGGGACTGAAGAAATCCAATAGTTGGCCACAGTCTGGGACAATATATGCCACAACCTAAAGTGAGCCCATTTAACATGATGAAGCCATGTATTAGCTACAATGAAGAATGAATCAGAGATACCCCCTCAACACCAGTTTTGCAAGACAACTACTGACAAGTGTCAATAAGGCAGATTCAAGAAACTCTCACTGACACAATATACAGAATCTTTAGAACCATGTTTAGGTGTTGTAACCCCAAGAGGGTTGGATCCTGTTTGCAGGACTGTAAGTAAATACTTTATTTCGTCCATGCTTAATGTTATTTAATTTATGCCTTCTTAATGAATACTTCCAGGTTTGAGGCTTATCTGCAATGCAAGCAAGACACTCCTGCCTCTGGGACTTTGGCATTATGACTGAAATATACTTCTCCGTCTGCAAATCTGCAGACATGTTGACATGTATTTTGCAGACCTTATCTGCTAACTGATCATGGAACATCTCCATTTCATGCTTAACCAATCAGTGTTTGTTTGACACACTCACACTAGCACAATGGGAAGTTGAGATTCTGGAGGCATGCATGTTGGCTCTTCTGTGAGCCTCTGCAAATTACATTTACCAATTAATCTCTTCTTTCTGTTTTGACCTAATCCTCTTTATAGAAGTATAAATCAGCCATTAGACAACTGTCCAAGCATGGGTAAGTCAGTCTCTACTTTATATTACATGGCATATGCGTAACACTATTCTCTGGTTACAAAGCATGTCATGGCACTCCTACCACAGGTAGCCCTTATATATGGCCTCTGGATTAAGATTGGAGTAAGACTGATATAAAATCCAATATAATCAAGCAGACCAGCAGCATGGGGGCAGTAAGACATTTGGCTGTAGGACAACCACAGCTGATTTTGTTGTCATAGTCATGACCCGTCTGCAGGTGCACATGAAGGATTGATAGTGCTTTTTACGACCACTGATTGTCAATAGGCTGAAGTAGAATTGTGTAAACATAGTTTTATACATAGGGCTGTATTAAATAGTATATAATGTGATGGTTTTGGAGAAAAATCTTTCAAAACTAGTTTAGGATGCCATACAATTTATACTAGATACTTTATCATAAGGATCATCATAGAACTCTACAAGAGATGGTTTCCCTTTCATAAAATGTTCCAAGTAGAACCATTAAATGAATCTAAAGCTCCTAAGAATCCAAAAAACCATTGAGAGCCCTAACCCTAAGATTGTGTTGGGAAACTAGGGCTATTTGCATTGTAGGGCAATTTGCCATTTGTTATGTCATGTGGCATAATGAAATATGTCATATCAATAATGATATTAAGTATGCTGAATCACTTCATTTTATTGACAAATTTTACAGCGATTTTTATTCTGGCTAATGTCAATTTCTATGGATTTTGGGGTTATTGATTTGGGTTTTTTTATGCCATTTTGATGTGATTTTATTTGCCATTTTGCCAAATGGGAAGTCCATGTCTGTTTTAAGACATCCTTCTTTCATGTATTATAACATATTAAGGTAAATCATGTTACTCAGGGCTTCATTTGTTATAACGGAGGTACTTTCTTAAATGTGAATAATTTCATGTGGTTGATTTTTTAGCAGAGTCACATTATTTAAATTCAGATGCACCCTATCTTAATATATTCTGTAGGTTGATCTCATCTGAGTGCATCATAACAGGCCATGTATGCCAGCATGAAAGTAACGTACTGAGTATACTGCAATGAAATTTAGGTGAATGTGTATATGTCCTTCTCCTGACTTTTCTATGGCCTGTATGTATATATGTATATATATATGTATATATATATATATATATATATATATATATATATATATATATATATATATATATATATATGTATATATATATATGTGTACATGTGTGTGCATATTTACCCAGAGACCTGTGCAGTAAACAATGGTGGATGTGATCGCACATGTAAAGACACGGCCACCGGAGTCCGCTGCAGCTGTCCAGTCGGTTTCACTCTGCAGCCTGATGGCAAGACTTGCAAAGGTCAGTTCGTGTTTGTTTGTGTCTGTGTATATTATCTGTGTTTTGATGTCTGTGTATATTAAAATGTTGAGGAACTTTCCCCTTTTCTTCTCCTTCCAAAAGCTTCTGGATGTCAGGGAGCAATTTTACATTTCCTGTATTTAGACTGATTAAATTGCAGGTACACCAGGACAATGATTCTTTTGCTGGAGATGGCTAGGTAGCACCATGTGCCTATGTGAGTGATCCTTAGCCAAGACCAACTCAATCCATGTCT